AAAAGGATTTAGAGCAATAAAGGACTTAAGACAATCTTGAAAAAAATGCAACTAAGTTAGAGAACTTGACTTCAAGCTGTATACTTTAGTATACAGCTATGATTACCAATATGTTACTAGCCTAAAGGTTGAGAATTGTATCAGTGGGACATAGTATCCCAGTACTGGACTCATGCATTTGTGATTGTTTCATTTTACCACAGCAAAAACATTGGGAAGCAAAAGTTTTTTTATATAAATGATGTCGAAACAACTGGATAGCCATATGGAAAAACAATGAAACTTGACACACTTTCTGATACCATATAGCCAGTTAATTCAGGATAGAGCATAGACAAAGTTATACCATAAAGCTAAAAGATAAATTTCTAAAATAGCATTGTTCAATAAAATTTTCTGTAGTAGCAGAAATGGCCTGTGTCTGTGTGCCCAATAAAGTAGCTACTAGCCACTTGTAGTTATTAAGTACTTGAAATTTGGCTATTGTAATTTTGGAAATGAATTTTAAATTTTACTTCATTTTAATTAATTTATATTTCAATAGTCATGTGGCTAATGACTACTGTATTGAGGACTACAATTCTAGAAGAGAGCATAGGAGATGTCTTAACAAGCTGAGGTTCCTGAGAACACAGAAAGCTATAATCAAAAAGAAGAGTTGGTGGATTAGACTTGTCAAAATTTTAAATTTTGCTGTCAAAATACATCACTAAGAAAATAAGTGGAGGGCCTCCCCTGGTGGCACAGCGGTTGAGCTCTGGGCTGCAAAGCTGCCCTCAGCCTCTGCAGCACCAGTTTGATCCCTGGCCTCCAGGTGAGGGGCCCACATGGCATGACAGACCTCTCCTGCCACCCGCTGCTCCCCTCAGCAGTGTGTTTCGTCAGTCTGCCTATTCTGTTCCCCGCTCTGGCTCTGGTGAATTCTCTAATCCTCCTGCACTTCTGACTATACCCAGTGCTTGTATAAGTAAATCTTTAAAAAAAAAAAAGAAAATAAGTGGAGAAGCTACAGATAGGGAGAAAGTATTTTCAAAACAAGTATTTAACAAAACAGGATTTGGAATATATTTTAAAAGCTCATAATAAAGACTTGCACTCTAATTTATAAAGTAGGTAAAATATTTAAATAGACATTTCACAAAGGAAGATATGCAAATGCTCAGTAAAGTGCTCAACATAATGAGTTGCCATGGAAATGCAAATTAAATCATGAGATATTACCATGCATATTTCAGAGGGGCCAAAGTGCTAAAGTGAAAATGACAGAGAGTATTACATGTTATCAAAGACTTTGAACAAGAACTCTCATACAGGGTGCTTTGGTGGTGAATCTTCTATAGTAATAGCATGGGAAGGGATAGTCTTTACTCCCAAAACACAGTAATGTAAATCAACACTACCTCAATGATAAAAAAAGGATTCTCATACATTGATGGTGGAGTTGTAAAATGGTACTATTTGGGGATAAATTCTGCCATTTTCTTACATATGTACAATATAACTCAATTCCTAGATATTTACCCAAGAGAAATGAAAACATGCATTCACAAAATGATATGCAGAATAATCTAACAAATGTTCACTAATGAAAGCATGGATAAATAAGCTATGTCTATTTATTCAGTACCATGCAATACTATTAATAAAAAGGAGCAAACTACTCATACAGCCAACCACATGGTAACTCTCAAAAGCTCAAAAGCATTATGCTGAGTGAAAGAGCGTCTGCTATAAGATTTGATTTATATGAAGTTCAATCATAGGTAAAACTCAGGTAGAATGGAAAATACCAGAAATGTGGTTGCCTTTTATGGGGGTTGAGATTGACTGGCATGGCACACAAGAGTACTTTCTGTGGTCATGATGTTGATTAGGGTTTGCATTATATAGTTGTGTGCATTTTTCAGAACAGATTGGCATCATTAAGATTTGTATATTTTAATGCATTGGAGCAAAGAAAGTTTGTTCAATAAATGGTGCTGGGAAAACTGAGTCGCTGCATGCAAAAGAATGAAGCTTGACTACTACCTTGCACCATACACAAAAACCAACTCAAAATGGATTAAAGAACTAGACATAAGACCTGAAACCATAAAATACATAGAAGGAAATATAGGCAAAACACTCCGGGATATGCACATCAAAGACATCTTTATAGACACATCACCCAAAGCAGTGATAGTGAAGGCAAAGATCAACAGCTGGGACTACATCAAATTAAAGAGCTTCTGCACAGCAAAAGAGACAATAACAAAACTAAGAGAAACCCCACCAACTGGGAGAACATTTTTGCACACAACACTAATGATAAAGGACTGATCACAAAAATCTGCAAAGAGCTAATGAGACTCAACAACAAAGAAAATAATCCTGTCAAAAAATGGGCAGAAGAGCTAAAAAGAAACTTCTCTGAAGAGGAAATACAAATGGCCAACAGGCATATGAAAAAATGTTCAACATCACTTGTAATCAGGGAAATGCAAATCAAAACTACCATGAGATACCATCTCACACCAGTGAGAATGGCACATATTAAAAAAACTAGCAACAACAAATGTTGGCGAGGTGGTGTAGAAAAAGGAACTCTCCTGCACTGCTGGTGGGAGTGCAAACTGTTCCAACCACTATGGAGAGCTGTGTGGAGATTTCTTGACCTACTAAACATAGAGCTTCCATATGATCCAGCAATTCCACTCCTAGATATTTACCCAAAGGACACAGAAACATCAATTCCAAAGAGCACCTGCACCCCTATGTTTATAGCAGCACTGTTTACAATAGCTAAGCTTTGGAAACAACCCAAATGCCCAAAAATTGATGACTGGATCAAGAAGATGTGGTACATATACACCATGGAATATTACTCAGCATTCAAAAAAGATAAACACATGCAATTTGCAGCAACATGGATGGAGCTGGAAGGGATCATGCTCAGCGAAATAAGCCAGAAAGAAAAAGAAAAATACCGGATGGTCTCACTCATAGCAGGAATCTAGAAAACTTAAATAAGGGACCAGGAAAATGAATAACTGTAAGAAAGTAAAAATCACAATCAACAAACAACTATGAACCAGAGACACTCTATGAGGGGTGGGGAGCGGGGAGGGGAGGGATTGGGGTCAAAATAAGGGGGTATGGGGAATATAAAAATAAAACAAATTTGTATATTTTATCTGAAAATAAAATAGTCTGAATCCTAGCTAATGATGTGTTTGCTTGAACATTTTCCTAATAGAATATTAGAAGAAAACTTTATTGTGACTTTTCATTAGAAAAGTGACAAGTTCCCACCAATAATATTTGGAAAATATAGAAAATAAAAGGAAAAGAGATTGTTATCCATAGCCCCAACTGCCCAGAAATAACTATTACTTGATGTTGTTGCTTTCCATCTTTTTTTTCCAATGCTTTATTTTTGCTTTGTTTAATGACTGTGATCATGATTTACCATCTGTATGTACTATCTTATATCTTATATTGGTATCCTACAAACTATCCTATTTTCTCCCAGTAAAGTTTATATCATATCATCTCCACAGCTAGATAATATTCTAAGCTAATAGAACTGTGCTTCTTTAAGTACTTATTTTGCATGTTTAGATTGTTTTGCATATCTTACTGATGACTGAAAACATTTTTACAAAAAGTTTGTTCTTTTTTTTAGATCCTTATAAGTGGAAGTACCATGTCAAAGTGTATGAAAACTTTGAAAGCTCTTCATACTTATTGTTGACTTTTGCACCTCTTTCTTTCCAGAAAGACAGCTCCACAGAACTCCTCAAAGTCAAAGTAAAACACTACTGATCTAAAATATTTAAGTTGTTCACTGGCTATATTAGATTTTTTTATCAAAAAATTTTTGGGCCTTTCTGAGGTTCAGAGAGGTTTAATAAGTTACCAACAATGTTTCCAGCTAGTAAACGGTGGAGCCAATTTATGTTATATTGTTTCTGTTGTATTGAGCACAAGACAAGTGCTTAATGATGTTTGTTAAATGAACATGTGGACAATGTGAAGGTAATGAAGGCTTAGGTCAATTTAGATTTACATTGCCTATGTATTTATCTTTAGAACTATAAAAAATTAAGTTTGCTTCTTTTTAAAGTAGCTTGCAAGCTGTTTTCTTTGCATGATTGGTTTATTTGTTCTGTTCATAACTACTTCAGTGTAAAGCAACTTACTGATTTTCCTTTGGCTTGGAACACAGTTACATATGGTAAAGCCCATATATTGAGAGATGCTAATTGATCTATTGCTGGAAATGTGATTCAGGTCACAGTGACTTGAATATCCTGATTGTTCTTTACCTTCTTAGGCTTCTAGTGTGAATCACAAAAGGAATTATGCATCTAGTGTGTGACCCCCATCTATGTGTTTCCATCTTTATGTTTCTGTAGGCAGCAGGGTATGTGGACTCTGCACTGTCTGTTATCCTTCATATTGCAATAAGCCTGGGGTATGTGAGCTAGGACTGCCATCTGCATAAACATTATACGTGGCTGCAGTATGAGTGGGTGCCCCAGGAATTTAATCCTATGGGCTATGGAGTTTGCCGACTCGTGGGGACACCACCTTGCTCTGAAATGGAGACTGGATGAGGAGGGGGATAGTTCTTTTATAAAAAAAAAACAAAACAAAACAGGAGGTGGGGCCTCCCTGGTGGCGCAAGGGGTTAAGATGAAACCTATGAAGCAATCCGCAGCCTCTGCAGCAGGAGTTCCATCCCAGGCCAGGGAGCTACCCACATGGTGCAGCAGACCTCTCCTGACTCGCCCGCTGCTCCCCTCAGGAGTGTGTTTTCAGTCAATCTGCCTGCTCTGTTCCCCATTCTGTCTCTGATGAATCCTCTCACTCCCCATGCCTCTGGCGTATACCCCAGTTCTTATATGCATAAATAAATAAATCTTTAAAAAAAGAACAAACCAAGAGAAAGGATGTTTGTCCTTGTGTATAAAAAAGGAGATGAGACTATTCTTTATTTATTATAATTCTCTGCTCAGAGAACGAATCAAATACTGCTGTGAGCAGCTGCGTATTCTATTACCATACGTAAAGGGGAGAAAGAATGATGTGGCTTCGATTCTTGAGGCAACAGTGGATTATGTGAAGTATGTCAGAGAGAAAATCCCTCCAGCCATTATGAGCCAGGTATTCAACTCCCAAACCCTTGAATTTTGTCCTCATAGACAATGCCTTAATGCCACAAATATTTTTTTTTAGATTTTTTATAAGGAAATGTATATGTGTGTATGTATTTTAAAAAATCTATATCTAAATAGATTTCTACTATTTCTTAGATTACAGAAGCACTTCAGAGTAATAGGAGGTTTTGTAAGAAACAGCAAACACCTATCCAGCTGTCTGACCCAGCACAATCATGGCACAGAGGTATGAACCTTAAGTCAACTTGTTCTTTGTTTCCAATACTAATGCTAGAAGTGTAAACGGGCTCTGGATCCACCCATAATAAAAATTCAGGTGTTTACTAAGAATCAGTAATCTTTTCCCAAAGATGGGGACCAAAGATCAAAGAAGATGAAACTCTTATTTTTATGGAGCTGGCAAATTAGTGGCAGAGAACATCACAAAGCAAAACATGATTCCTGTAATGTGTTAAGTGCTGAAATAAAGGTACTGTGCTTATTACGGGGAAATAATAGAAGCCTCAGAACAAGTATGGTTGTTGGTGTCTAAAGTGAAAAGAGAAATGCCAAAATAAAATGTAATCCCTCCTTGTTCATATAATCAAAAAAGTTAGTCAGGACCTCCCTGGTGGTACAAGGGGTTAAGACACAACCTATGAAGCTATCTGCAGCCACTGCAGCACGAGTTCGATCCCCGGCCAGGGAGCTACCCACATGGTGCAGCAGACCTCTCCTGACTCGCCCACTGCTCCCCTCAGCAGTGTATTTCAGTCAGTCTGCCAGTTCTGTTCCCCACTCTGTCTCTGGTAAATCCTCTCACCTCCCGCACCCCTGGCCTGTACCCCAGCTCTTGTATGCATAAATAAATCTTTTTAAAAAAAGTCAATTTAGACTTTTCTCCTGGCTTGGGGGAGGGGAGGACAGAAAAAAGAAAATAGCCATGAGCCATGGTTCATCTACACAAAGTAGCTGTGGCTGAATGTCACAGGGATTAGTAACTCAGCCTAGATGAACTCAGACAGACATCGGGCTAGAGGCATGTGCCTGCCTGTGTTACCTCTTATACATGCACTATTCGTGTATAAATACAAAAAAAAAGTGTAAAACTCTTTTTGTGATAATGAGTTAAGGCCTTTATGTACTCTGTTCTCTCTTAATATTACATCACCTGAGGCAACTATTATTGGGAAGACCCAAATACACCCAGACCATAGAGTTAAGGTGTGTTCAGACTGGAGAGACTTTGAAGCACATTGAGTCAAAATCCCTAGGTTCATTTTATTTGTATACATTTTTCCATTTGAAAAGCAACATTATCCTTTACTAACCCAGCTAAGATAATGACTATGTTCATTTTTAATGTATTTCCTTCAAGTTTTTTCTATGTGTAATTTTCTACAGTAGTAATGATATTAGACATCCAGTTTTGCTGCCTGAATTTTACTTAACATTGTTTCTATATACTTTAATTTTTTATTATCTAATCTTCATCACTGTTCCAGTGGTTTTATAGAATTATTTATAGAATAATTTTCATCATTATCCTCCATTTACTACATTTAGTGTTTCTAGTTTTTTAAGTAGAGAGAGTTTATATAAAATGTTATAGGAAATATTTTCCAATATGTAGATTTTTCTATATTTTGGACTTTGGCCTGGATACATGAACATATGTGACGTATGAGGTAGAGAACATGAGCACATGTATATAGTATGGTGCCAAACTGTTTTTGAAAGAAGATTGGAACAGTTGAAATCAGTTAAGCTTTTTAAATTTTACTTTCATAATCTACATCAGTAAACTGAAGGCTGAAGAAGTGATCACCAGAAGTCACCAGGTTTCTGTGCTAAAGTCTGACCTATATATCTGTATTCAATGTTTACATGTCATTAGGTTGCATTTACTTATCCATCCCATAAATCTTTGTAGACATTTGCTGAAATAATTTTTCACAAATATTTCAGATACATTTGTTTTTAAGTAGACATAGAAATTACGTTATCTTACTTTATTATTAATGTCCAGAAGGAAATAGGTATTCATGGTCTTGCTTAAGGTTGGTTTATTAACATTCATGATGCAGATTTAAATTTTTTTCTGCCTTTTAGCTTCTATACGGAATATAGATGTTACTATACAGAATATTATTATAATATATATAAGCCGCTCCATTGATAGAAAATCAACCAAACTTTATTCATGACCAAATGAAGTTCTTTCTAATGTTCTTCCTTACTTCATAGTGATCGTCAAGCTTTGATTATGATGAAAGAAATAAACACCCACCCAAAGCAAATCTCTGTCTGACCCCTCTAAAAATTTGGTCTTTTGAACACTAATTTATGGTGTGTTTGTTGCATTAAATGTCACTATTAAAAGTTTTACTTTACTTTTTTATCAGCATTTTAGTGTACCAATAGTATATATTTGTAACATTGGGAAATGAAATAGAGGAAAATTTATTAAAATACATCTAGTAATTCAGAGATATAGAGTTGTATATTCTGACAATTATTTTTTTTTTAAATTAAAGGTCAGTCCAACTACGCTTCAGAGAGTGCTATTGGTGATATGTATAAAACTGGCATTTCCAGCAAATCTCTCTCTGTTAATTCTTTTCCTGCTGTCAGATACTATTCTAAAGTCATCTCTTCCTATGATGCAGCTGCTGTAACAAATCAGAACACCTCTATTCATTTTCCATCAGCCATGCCCAAAGTCTCAAAATTTCTTCCTCAGCCCTGTTCTTCTATGTTGGGCCAGACATGCACAACACATCCCAAGTGTCTGGTAAGTCTTCTGGGGTCTTAGACCAGATTGTACTACTCTTTCATTCCGGACAGCAGGTGCCTAGACTTGCATTTTGTTGTTATTACTCTTGACAGAAATCTCTTAAACTGGGATCAGATGTAGTTAACCCAGGCTCTCCTTCCCTAAGCTGTAGGGCTGGTAGCTAGATATCCATAGTCAGTAAATCTAGGTGTGGTTCTGCTGGGGTGATCTTCAGTGACCAGGTGGAACCTGATTACCTGTAGATCTCCTCCCCTCATCCCCTGGCTTCTAAGATCCCATATCCACTTTTAACAACTTTGCTCTCAACTGGCCCCATAACTAGCTGCTGCTGTATCTCCTGGGCTCACGAAGTCGATCATACTGCATGAAAATCTGTCCTTATAACACCAACCAGACTGATTTCATGCGATAGATATTCTCAGATCACACTTATTTATTGTGCACCCACTGTGTTCTAGTGTAATGCTAACCACTAAGATTGCAGTGTACAAAAAAACACATTCTCCCTGTCCTCATGAAGATTTACTGTCATAGGAAAACAGACTAAAAGTCTGGGAACAGTGCATTGCATAGGAACACATCTGAGGAGTACCCTAGTGTATATATATATATTATGATTTAGGCTTGGGAGAGGTTAGGGACTACTTACTCCTGGGAGAAGTACTGTCTAAGCTGTAATCTGAAGAGTAAGAATTAGTTCAGTAGAACCATTAGGAATTGAAAGTAAGGAATGGAGAAGCATTCCAGAGAGGTGGATCAGCAACTATAGTGTAAGAATTGTCCGTTTTGTGGAAAATCTGTCCTTTCATGTCCAGTTCTAGAGTAAGATCCAAACTAGACTAGCCTGCTTGAAAAAAAATTCTGACCTTAACATAGTTACTGATACTTTAGCATATTAATAATAGCTAATATCTTTTGAGTACTCAATAGACAGTATGTCAAATACTCTATGTACTTTATTTGGATGATCTAATGAATCTGAAATAATTCTTTGAGGTAGGTACTATTATCTCTATATGACATCTGGAAAACAGGAATATGAGAAGAGTATTTTAAAGAGAATTAAAAGACATTTTAAAATGTGACATATCTACTGATATATTACTATCGTTAATGACCCTCACTATACAGAAAAACCAGGATAAATGAACAAAATCAGTGTGACTATTTGTTGTTTGTTGAGCAATATATATTTGTTTTATGTAGCTTTTGTCAGAATTGTTGCAAGAAAATGATGACTTTTAACAACAATCAGTAATACATATTTTAAAAGCTGTAGGTGCATTCACCTGAAGACTTTAAATTGTTTTAGAAATCATTTCATATTACTTTGGGACATGAAATTATATTTCTGACATCATGAGACAGTATAGACCATGATTTAATTAATGTTTTTTTCTTTGCAGAACAGTTTTGGGCATATTGATAGCACATGTTTGAAATTCACACTCTAGATCACCTATTGGCGCAGTTTGACAATACAAGAAGAATGGACTAGAGAATGACCTTGAAAGCTAATATCAAAAAAGTTTACAATGTATGGCTTCTGATAATGGTGCTAAAAGCGTCTGCAGATGAAAAGACAAGCAGCAGAGTGCCAGCCACACACTTTCACTTACCTTACACAATTGGGTCTCCCTCAACCAGAGAGCTACAAGAACACACCACCTAAGTGACCTACATTTTCTCAAAAAACATGCCACAATTTATGAAAAAAAGTGCTCTATAAAAAAAGTCCACACAGACTTGATAAAATGATGGTTGGGGAGGTACCTTGGTACTCTGGTGTCTGTGAACAGATATTGCAACTTGATTCTAATTTTTAGTAGCACTGTGGATTACTGTCACTTATTTCTAGGTAGGATTGTTTCTAGAGTTGACAAAATTTTAGAGTGTTTCCTTTGTTATTCACCATCCAAACTATTTTAGTTTCAGAGAGGTTTTACTTCTACACTGATTACTAATGAATAAATTGACATTTGTCTTTGTATTTCGTAATCTTGTGAGTGAAATGATAGCTAGCAGGTAAATTTTTGCTTCTGGATCTTTAGTTACAGAGTAGCAACTCTTTATTTTTTTCATCTCATCCTCCCCATGGGTATTAGAAAAGACTTGAAAATAAGGGGAGAAAAATATTTGTTTTATATTTCATGGAAATATTCTTATGCATAATATTTTATTGTTAAAGAAAATATTCAGTTTTGACCCTGAAAATGGTAACCCATTTTTGTTTTGTCTAATAAAATGTGTTCCCTGTTTTAGTAGAACTATGTAAGGAATTTAATAGATTTTTGAGAAATTTAAAAATACTTTAGGCATAGCCTAATTTTCATGTTAAATTGTATAACTTTTCTTCAAGGATGCTGTGATGGTGGAATCTGTAGCTGTTTCACAAACTTTATAAAGGAACTAGGAGTTTCCAACTAAGATTCTGTGCTTATTATTTCAAAAGCTCATTTCACTCTTCATAATTGTGCCTTCAGAAGTAATTGCTTTGGCTTTGTAAGGGAATATGTTTGAGATATATTGGGTACTAATACATAGTCTTAGGTTCTCAACTGGTCTTAATTGCTACTTGGACTTTTGTTATGCGTCAGGTTGTCCTACATCTCCAGGGGAACCATGAGAGAGCCTGTGTCTAGGAGTTCAACAAATCAATTAGAGACTCAATGCATACATCCTGTCAGTTTGCTATTTGCAGTTACCATTTTCTCTTTAACATTGAAAGAAGGCTACCAGATTCATTGTTAAAACTCTTTTTTTTCCCAAGGCTGGTTGCCATTATCCTGAACTTCATGAAAGTATCCAACTTTGTTTCTAATACTAGAATTTCATTTTAAATAAAGTATTTTCTTCCAAGTAAATTCTACTGTGAGCTAAGGAGGAAAGGTTAATTTGGCCTCAGCCTGCAGCAAAAAAACAGCATTTTCTTTTGTAAAATTAAGTTGACTGGTCATAACACAGTTTCATTTTCACAATGAAAAAGGTTCAAAAAATTTCCTAGAAAAGGTTAAGGCTTGCAGTTTTCCCACTTGTAGCTAGCAGTCCCTGTCTCGGGGAGTAGAAGCAAAAACAACCATAACCAAGAAAGTGAGATAGGGTTCACTTAGTTTATCTGCATGACAATAAAAATTGCTGGTGTGAGGAAGGTGCTTTCTTAATTTTATTGAATATTTATGCTTTATAAAATTACTCTTGGGCTTCCCTGGTGGTACAAGGGTTAAAGTCTCAGCACTATCAATCTATCACCAGCCACTGCACATGAGTTCTATCCCTGGACAGGGAGCTACCCACATGGCACAGCAGACCTCTCCTCTCTGGCCTGCTGCTCCCCTCAGCAGTGTATTTCAGTAGATACGCCTGTTCTCCTCACTCTGTGTCTGGTGAATTCTCTCACCACTTGTACCTTTGGCCCACACCCCAGCTGGTATATGCATAGATAAATGAAATCTTTTAAAAAAAATGAAATTACTCTAAATAAACTGTTAAAAGCAGACCGCCACTTTTGCAATATAGAGAAAGCTGGAAAACATCTCATTTTTCTGAATACTTGGCATTGGGGTATCTTGAGACCGGAACCTGAAACTCCTGACATTTTTTTAATCCAACTAGCAGGCATGCCATTGGTTTCCCCTTTCCTTCTGCCTGTCTCCCTATTACATGGAATGAGGAAGCAGGAAATCCATGGATCACCTTGGTTAATCGGGTATCAATAGATGGTTTCATCATCATGGAAACGTGACACTCCTGTGGAAGCAGAGAAGCCTCTTATCTCTATTTTTCAAGGTTGTTTTAACATCCTAGCATAATTTTTTTTTAAACACAAAACACCCAAGAATATGCACACATACATGTGCACACACACAATTACATAACATGGTATGTTGTGTGCTGCTGAATTTTGCTCATCAGACTCCAGTAGAAATATTTTCGTTTTGCCCAAAGGAAAGATTTCTAGATATCAGTTATAAACCACATGGGTTTGAGCATTGGTGGGAGAAATTCCAGGAAATAGAGCTCTAAAATATATAAATTTGTTCTAAAAGTGATTTTCCTAACTGAATATTCCAAGAAGTCTTTGCAAGCAGATATCCTTTTCCATTTGTTTCTTTCCCAAATAGTTGTAAGTCTATGTGAAGATGTTGGGATAGTTTTTTTTCTGAAGCACTTAATTATTCCTTTCTTTCATTATGTCCTAGGCTATTTTCTTATGTCCATCAAAATAATTACCTAATTAAAAAAATGGCTTAGAAATTAAGAGATTCTACACCATTTATTTATTTGGTAGCTGGACAAAGAGTATTTGATCAAAGTGAGTATTTGAACAAAGGAAGCAATGCACCCAATTTTATTGTGAGAACTATTCCAACAATCACAAGTTTGAGTTTAGTTTATTTAGACAAGGGGCACAATGAGTCATTGACATTAAATGTGCAATTATTCCTGATCAAGGGGCTTCTGAGCCTGTTATTTTAATCTAAGAATATGTTAAGGTTTTGGGTTTTTTTGTTTACTTATTTAATCACTTCCCTGACACCTGAAAAAATGCATTGTAGAAATGCAAATGCTTATGGTGCACCAAAGGATGATGGTGCTTTTTTGTCTGCCAGACTTGGGGGGTGTCCCAGAACATTCTGCAGTATGTTAATAGATTCTGTCCAACCTTCTATTCATTGCATTTGTGACTGATGTACATTCTGTTCAATGTTTGGGTACCTTTTGCATCCTTCATTTATACTTCAGCTAAAAAGGTGTGTCATATAACATTGACCTCCCTAGCTATTAAGATCTGAACCCTTAACTTCTTGTTGCCCTCCTTGGTGCCCAGCACAGCATCTGGAAAACAAGGTTAATTAATTTTTTTTATCTGGCATTGTGTTATATTAATTCCACTGTCTGGGCTATTATAAATCATGTGTTTGACTGTTATTTTTACACTGACATTGCTTGTAACATCTGTAAATGAGGATAATAGAGCATAATAATAACACAATAATAATAAATGCAAGAATCACCTTTTCTAGTAGGAGAGGAAAGTAGAGAATTAAAAAGATGATCAATCTAACCAAAGAAATCCAGCTTATCATATCCTTATCATATCCTTAACTGGTTGGGGTATTTCCTTTTTTTGTCAGCTGAGATTTGAACTTTCACGGTAAGTTTCTGCTGTACGGTGAAGAAAATCTGAGTATATTCTCCAAAACAGCATACTTTCTCCTTAAGCCATTGGGTCTCCATGGAAACAACTTTACTTGAAGGGTTTAATACAGTGTGCCAGTTAGTAATCTTGAATGCAGCCTTTCCAGAATTTTACGTGTCATCAGGTATTTAGAACACACATTCAGTCCCGTCTATGACCATGCACAGCCACGTTGTGAATCTCCCCAAGACTGACATCAGCCTCTGTACTTCCAGCTTGCCCAGCTATTTTTAAATCACCAATAACAGGTCTCAACATTGCAAGCACTGTGAAAATGTTACAGGATGTGTCACCGGAAAGGGGGAGAAGCATTGCTACAGCATCAGGGAAAATGGCACCCACCACCACAGGGACACAGCCTGTAAAAAAGCTCCCTGCAGGTTATTTCCTCCATAGACATACAATTGATTTCAATTTTAAACTAGAAACTATTAACAGAAAATCTCATAGCCATGAGTATATTTAGGTAGTACACATCAACAAGGATAAACTTACTGATTTTTACCCCTACTGCTTTGTGTTAATTCTGGTTCTCGCAACAAAACAAAGGGACAGGAAAACTAAACCAAAATAAACCCTAGAGAGATGACTGCAGAACTGAAGTTACCAGAGAGGGCAGGTGGAGGATTATAGGTGCCTTGGTGGAAGGTGCAGTGTGGTAACATTTGTCTGAAAAGGTATGATTCTATACCAAATTATATATTGAAACCATGCTGTAAACCATTGTTACCGTGATAAAAAAATAATTAAAAAATACTGATTCTCATGATATTCTAATACTCCTGAATTTATTGTTTATAATCATTAAGATCAAAAGCTCATAGTATTCACTTCTCTGTATATTTTTATATTTTATTATTATAATAAAAAATAAGGCCAATGTGGTTGAAGCATTAATTTTTATCTCCTATCTGAGCACTGTAATTCACCTATCTTTTTATGGCATTTAACTGGTAAAATAATAATTTTAAATATCTCGCTAAAGGTGATAGTCCAAATTTATTTTGGTCATGGTGACAATAAGTTCAAACTTTTATAGGGTAGTAAGGCAGAGACTGGACAAAAGTACCTCTGTTTTTGAGAGAGGTAAGGGGACAGGAAAGAGGTGAGATATCTATTTTTCTTTAGAAACAAAACAGTATTTGGAAAAATTTAAATGTGAACATGTTATCTTGGCATAAAAGACTTTTTGAGGGGTTAATTCTAATCTTAGGCAACTGAGAAACTACTGCAAGATTACTCTGAGCTCAAAATATTCCCCTACTTTCTTGAGTCATGTGAGAAGAATCACATATGGGGAAGAGAATTCCATTCTTGACCATCGTTGCCCTCACCCTGTGAAGCAAGAGCTGAGTTTCAATATAAATATTATTGCTGGCCATAAGACTTCCCAGCTCCTTTTTAAACCTCGCCACAGAATTTGACTGGCACAGAATGTGTTTATTCTTAGTATCACTATCAATTCTCCCTAAAATGGAAAATCTACAACAAAGGATTCAATAAAATGCTGCGCTCCGGCAGGATTGTGTCAATCCAAAGGGCAGTTACAGGGAGATCAAATTAAGGGATTTGCACTTACAACCTTGGCCCTGGTCCAGTCAAGGCTGGGAAAAATACTCCCACTTCTCCAACCCTACAGCAAAATGATATAAATTCACCCTACAAAGAGGGACATCCTCTGCCCTGCTCTGGCAGTGGTGAACAAAAGTGCTTATAAAAATGGTTTGCTGTTAACATGGATAGAGCTGGGAGGGATTATGCTCAGTAAAATAAGTCAGAAGGAAAAAGAAAATTATCAAATGGTTTCACTTATAGGAAAAATATAGGGAAACTGAACATAGGCAAACTGAACAAAGGGTTAAAAAAAAAGAAAAACCTTGCAGGCAAACTATAAATCTGAGGCATAAAGCAGGGGAGGGAGAGGGATCACAGCAGGGGAGGGACACGCACAAGGGACTATGGTGACTGTTCACAGGTGAGAAATCAAATGTGCAAAAATGAACAACAATATAAGAACATTTAAGTTTAATAAAAAAATAGTCTGCTGTTGAGGCCCAAAGTTTGTGAAAAGGAGGCACCTAACTAGCATCTTATTACAAGTTAACTGCATTAGAGAAATTGAGTTAAAAATGTTAAATCTCAGCTATTAGAATCAGCTTTGTGTCATTTTGGTATTTCCTTCAATGTTACTCAAAGTTAAAGAATACTAATCAGATCCTTTGGGCAAAGCCAAGCCAGTCATGACAGGCTTCCAGTTAAAAATTATTTTTTGCTGTCTGCATATGGATATTCTGCTACCACTTAAAGGCAAAAGACAGCAGAATTTTTTCAATGGAAGTGTGCTGGACCATTAGTGGTACCTGGTGGTACCTGGGGACCCGAACTGTTAACGGGTATACAATCTAAGGGGGTCTAGATACCCATGCACGTACAAAGGAAGAACATTCTGTAGAATAAGTGATTTTCAGGCTTTTCTGCCTCCCGCCATTAGGATTAATGATGGATCCTTGTGGTCCTGAATGCATGCCTGATGGTGGGCACCTGAAGTAGGGTGTGGGCATGCGTAAGTGGGTACACCTGGGCTAAGGGCAGTGTCACGGGGACGCCAGCAGAAGCAGAACCATGAGAGAAGCAGAGAGAATGCACGAGAAGGCCGGAGAGCCCAGGAAG